TTACTATAGCATGTGAACCTACATTTATTTAAAACTCCAAAATGTTAACGTAAACACTCCACTAGCCACCTCTTGAATTGTACCTTCTTTCCTTAAATTAAGTAGCACGTTAAAAATGTAATTTTGACAAGTTTCCAGCTGACATTAAATGACTTATTCAGTACCACGACAAACTTATCAAAAGGCTTAACATCCTCGGTCCATTTTATTTAATAAAAAGTTTAAATGAAGGATTGCTGCCTATATATCTGTATTTATTTTTTCTAAAAAGCAAAATTGGCCTCAGTTGATCTCAAATAGTGGTAAATTTGGCCTATTGACAATATTAAGCTTTATTTATTTACATTTATTATTATTTTTTTAAGTCTAAACTCTGGAATTAAATATTGATTTCAGTCTTATTTCTAAAGCTATTTACTCTATATTGGGGTGGTTAAAATTTGTAAAGAAAAATGACAATAAATAAGTTCGTATAAACTCTATATTGTTTTTCGTTTCTTTACATGATTTATTTCTCATCTTAGAACAATACTATTTGCTTATACATAATAGAGAATTGTACAGTTGATAATAGAGACTTATCTAATATTACTTTATCATTATATTATTCCTGTATCAGAACTGTCATTAGTTTTTTAATATATTTATAAATCTAGTGAATTGCATTTATTGCTTTGTTCATTTTTTTTTTTTCATGTGTAAAAGTAAAAATGACATTCTAAAATTTGCTATTGATAATTTACCTTGATATATAAATTTAGCATTGGATTACAAAGAAAAACCTGAGTTCACATTATGTCAACAGGTGATATTTATTCTCAGATAAATTCATTTGACACCTGTATGAAACACTTTAATCAATATAATACTGCCTCTTGAAGTTTTCCATCAGAAACAAATGGAAAGATGACATGAAGTTCTGTATTGCCAACAAGAGGAACTATATCAAGATATTCCCAAATTTGATGTTAATGCTTTGGTGCAATATTAAAAATTATTGGAAACTATATTGAGTATGTAACACAATAAATTTTCTTATAGCAATTTACTTTTTTTATATTGAATATTTTATATAAAGTAAAAAAATAATCAAATTATAGTGAAATCAGACACGAGAAATTGAGATTTAAAATTGTTTTAGATATAAATCTTTATCCCCTCAGATAAACTTAATTTTTTTTTTAATTGGATTTCATATTTTAGGTGTTAATTTTAAGAAATTTTAACATTTTTTTTTTTTTTATCATGGAAAAAGATCAAATGCATATAAACTCAATGACTTATAACTTAAATTTCAGATGTTATGGTCCTTCAATTGGTTTATAAAATTATATAAATAAACCCGTGTGATTATTGTAATTATTATTCAAAGAAAAAGTTTTGTTTGAATTCATAGGGCAGTTGTTTTCAATGAACTCTTTAATATTTTTACATGATTAAAAAAATTCCTTTATAAAAGTTTGCATGTGATGTAGTCAAAGAGAGGGAAGTATTTATATATTTACTTTTATTACATAAATGAAAAAGCAAAGTTGAATAGTACCTTTTAAACAGATTTTCCTCTGGCTCTTGAATTTGACATATCTGCTCAGTTCCTTGTATCCTAATGTAAACAAAGCAATTCTTTTTTCTTACTCCTTACTTCCTTGGAGGTTGTTGGTGATGCCTTCTATATCTTTTCTATGGATTTGACAGTCTTTTGTTTCATTCACTCTTTGGCTTTGTTTTCTTTAGCCACTCATCACATATCAAGTTTCCATTTGTTTAGTCAGCTGTGTGTCTACAAACACTTCTTGCCTATTAGTAACAACATCCATTACTAAACAAAAAGATTTCTAATAATTATTAGTAAAAGTACCTACATTGTAATCAGTTGCTTTAAAAAAAAAAAAAGACCTTTTAATTTAAAGCAGTAATATTTGAAATGAAGATGTACTTCAGTCTTTATTTATGATATTCAAAATCTTTAATTTGGATAATTTCTGTCAATATTTATTTTTATTTTATTTATTTATTTATTTTTTTTTGGGAAAAAGCAGCAAAAAAAAAATAACAGCCAGATGGAATGATTTGAACATCATCATCAGCTCATCATTCTATTATGTTTATTGTTTGATTTGAAAGTTACATACAATTAAAAAAAAAATAACAAAAGACTAAATTTTTATTCACTGTAAAGTTTAGTACTTACAATGATATTTATAAAGTAAAAAATATTGTATTCCTCAGACTTATAAAAAAAAAAATGTATTTATTTTATTTATTTGTGTGTGAAAAATGGTTATCTTTTCTGCAGATATTTCTGTGGCATCTTTTCACAGAAGCATATTTAAAATTCCTCTGACAAGGAACCAAAGACCATCTGACTGACTAATCTTTATATACTGCTTCATACTACCAGTAATATTGCATTGTATACATTTGGCCTTGTAACATTTTCCCCTGCATAATTCTTAGCCTTTTATTTTTTCTCTCCTTAAAAAAAATTTTTTTGTTCTGACCCTCTCAAAATGATGCCCCTCTTTCCTTGTTTTACTATCCGTCCATAATAGTTTTTCATTATTCCTGGTTGAAGTTCCTTCATCACAATGCCTTGTTTAATACAAATTGGGGACAGGACTTCTATCTCTTTCTTGTGATCTCAGAACTAAAAATAAATATTTAGAGAAAAAACAATGTACATTCTTCTTGACTTTTGAAGTCAAAAATGATCAGGACTTAAATTTGCCTATGTTGAGTCAATTGTTTATTTGCTGACCAGCAGCTCAAGTCATTCAGGCTTCCTTTGAGATTTATAAACTCTTTAAAATTTAAATTTAAACAGTGATTTTACAAATTCTGCATGATAGAATTGTGTAGACAGCGAACACTGAACTAACAGCCAAGAGAGTTGCAATTCTCCTTCCCCAACTGCTTTTAAAAAACGTTACATCACTCAAGAGATTGATAAGTGTGTGCATTGATATTTTATGCTTTATTTTTTTTTAAAACAAACAAAAAAAAAAAAAGGATAAACAAGTCATTTGGGGAAAATCTAGTGAAAAATTAGATTTCCTTTGGATTTTTATCAATAGCCTTTCATAAATTCACAATATATGATTTTTTTATTTTAATAGATCAGACAAGTGATTACTTAATCAGGGCCCATTTTAGTTAATAATTGTAAATATTTTAGTAATCAAGAAATTTGCCATCATTTAACCAGTTGGTGAGTGGCCATCACTGCACCCCATGAGTAGTCTCATAATATTCAAAGCAGTTCACTTGTCTTGTAGTTTGCCTGTCTTCACTTAATTATATTTTATTTTTGGTCTGGGGTTCCTTGAGTTTTCCTACTTTCCATCTTCCATGAACTAACCAGTTCTGTCTTTGGTGCTTGCAATCATTCCTCCCAATCTTCCTTCTTTGTTGTGAGGGTTTTGTTTTGTTTTTTTTTCCACTGACCATATTCTGTGATCAATTCATTTTGTTCACTGCTCTTTACAAAGTTGAGTTTTTTTAAGTATTTTAAAAAACTATTTTTGTTTAGCTATTGCTGCATTTTAATACAAAAATTAAAAGAAAAAAAAATCAGAAAGGGTTATGATAATGTAAACAAAAAAAAACTGCAAGTCTTTGCTTCACAGACTGGTTGGCTTCTATGCTGTCTGGATGTCAATTTCTTTTCTAAAACTTGTACTTTGTGGCTTTTTTATTAGATCAATAAAACTGTTTTGAGCAAATAATGAAAATAAGACTTCTCTCCTTCATTGATGCAATGCTGCATCATTTTTTGTTGTTGTAAAGCTTGAAAACTTAAAAGTAAAACTTGTTAAGTGTTTCTTTCATCTTAATTTCAGTTGCTTTTTATTCAGTCATTGTAAAGCCATTAGTAAGTAGAATGGATCAGAAAAAATATAGACAATAACAAACCAAGATTACAAAAGCTTCATTGCTGGCAATTTCATTTTTTTTCTATACTTTCAAATTTGATATGTCTGCTTTATTCTAATCAGAATATGTTCAGTCATAACCAAATATTGAGGTCCAATGACTGATGCCCCCCTCACCTTTTTCCTAAACATTAAGGGAAGAAGTATTACCATTATTTTTTTTTTTTTAAATTCAACTTTATAAATAATTATTAACAGTAGAAAAAACCACCAAGTTATTTAATCTTAGATGGCTTGGAGTTTCTGTCCTGGTGTCAATTACTGAAAAATTTGTTAATTCTGATTTCTTTGTTTTGAAATAATATAAGCAATATAGGTGGAGATGTTAAGTTGAGTAAATGTTCTGTTATCTTCTTTTTGTATCATTCAGAAAAATTTGTTTAGAAGAGAACATTTTTATTTAGTTATTTATTTTTTTATTAAAGTTTATTAATATAAAAATAAATAGTTTATATATATATATATATATATATATATATATATATACACACATACACACAGAGAAAACAATGCAATATGATTCCTGTTTACAAAATTATTACAAAATGCTACACAGGATTCAAGTTGGATGACTGCAAATTGTAAGATACTGATTTCAGTTATGTTTTAATAGTTCATTTTCTTGTATTGAGTTTGCAAGTAAGCAGTTTTTCTTGTTAAAACAGTAGCTTTACACTCCAAGAATACTTGTCTATCCATTTTATAAAGAATCAAGATATATCTTTCAATGGTGACAAGTGAATCCAAAAATCTTCATTATATAAGGGTAAAAGTAAATCTGATTACAAATTTTCTAAAATTAATTTGCACAAGCAATCACCAATGTTTGTTGGGGTATATTCACCAATATCTAAATATCAAATAAAAAAAGATGGCTATTTTTCTAAGTGTTTTTCTTTTCATTCTAGCAAAACTACAAGACTATTTCAAGTATTTGGTTGGGAGTTCAATGTAATTTATTTTTTTTTTGTGTGGACACTTGAACCTTAAATTAATGTGGGGGAAAAAAAAAAGTCAAGCAAAAGTAGATTGTGTTATGCAATAATGCCCTGGAATGTTATCTCCATTTCAGTCACAGCTGCACACACTGCGATTACAGAGAGCCAACACAGGTCGATAATTATTCACTAGTGGAGCAGTGTTTTTGCCAATCAAAGCACGAAAGTGACTAAGCTGAAAAGTAAATGAAATAAAATTAAATAAATAAAAAAAAACAACATATTTAATTAATGTTGAGTTTAACAATTAAAAACTGTAACAAATAAGTTTTGAAGATGATAAGATA